CCTTTTTTTGTCCGCCCTCGACTAAATAGAAGTGAATCAATCACCCTTGAAGCTTTGGCCGCTCCGATTTGTTCCGAAATGATCAAAGCCCACTCGAATGGCTTCATTTCTGTCCCAAGAAGTCAACCCTAAATTTCAACGGCCACAAACAAACGAGCTGTGTTTTTTTCATGGCGGGAGTAAAATATAAACATTTGTTTGCAGTTTTTTCGATATTTTTATGTGGGTTTGTTTGTTTTCGGTTTTCTTCGAAGACGAATTTTATTCGATAAGTAAGCGGAACATAAACAGTATCAGAGAAATGAATCGACAGTCATAATAAATATACGCCTGATAAACTACTAGTACATATTTTGCTACAAAAACACTTTGGGCAACTTGACCACTACTATGGACTATCGCTGCAATATTTTTGTAAAAAAAAAAACTTTTTTATTTGATGGCATAATTAAGAAGTCTATATATATATATATATATATATATATATATATATATATATATATATATATATATATATATATATATATATATATATATATATATATATATATATATATATATATATATATATATATATATATATATATATATATATATATATATATATATATATATATGTATGTCTTTTATAATCACTATTAATTAACTTTGGTTGGCACACCGCGTGTGTCGCAATCCTTTTCAGGATTCGCTACCAAAAGATCTCTAGTAATTGTAATTAATTCCATCGCCAAGACCACAGCAATTTGTTACAAAACAACTGTCGCAAGTGAATCCATGTTGGCTGTAACACTAATCGATTTTCAAAACTTTAGCTTTATGTCACACTCGGTGTAGGAAAATGTGTTTAGCGAAAACCTTCTGACGACGTATTTCAGGCATCATGACTTTTGAGCGTTACTGCTCTATGGCGATGAAGTTTTTGTTAGCTGCTACAAAGTGATATTCGTTGAACATATTGAAACAAGCGACATCGAGAATTAACGTTTACTTTCATCTTAATATTTTGAAAGAATAATATGAGATATTTACTTAGGTGTTGAAATTAACATCCATATTATTTGTACCAAAGCGCTGAAAGCCCACCAAGGATAGAATGTAGGTTTTACTCTTATAAGGAAAGTTTTTAAGGAATAAGTCAAAATTTCTTATTTTCAAGAAATTATGACTTATTTTTCAAAAATTGTGAACTACTATTAAATTAATCCCTTATTCCCTTTGATTACTTTTTATGCGGAAGACTGAAAACTTTAGTTTATGCAGAAAGTATTGAAAACAGAGACCAACCAGTAGCTAGAATTATGGATCCCGCAGAAACTATTAGTGCTGATCTTGAGACTGTTAGCACAGCTGCCACTTAAATTCTAGGAAGAGCTGGACTATGTATACAGCAACTGGGAGAACATTCTTTTAAAAGGTTTTTCAAATTCCAAATGCTTGTAGCTCAGATAGAATAGCATTACGGGTATATGTTCATTTGACATTTTTAACTTGAAATCATCTTAGCAACATACTCCCAAGGTATGGCAGTCATGTCGTGGATCAGGTACTAATAGATTCTTTATTACCGTTGTAGCGTTATAAATTTAAAATTAAAAGGGGGGGACACATTTAAATCATTAAGTAATGGATTCGAATATCTCATTGTGTTAATATCCATAGCTTCCAACAAATTTAGTTTTTGGCTTTTTGGTTCATTATGTAAAAAATAAAAATTATTGTCAAACTTGTGCATTTCTGAATATGAATGAAAGGAATAGTTAGAATAAGAAACTTTTATTTTTATGCACTTTTATGTCCGTTACTGCGTTTCTACCTGTTTGTCCGATATAAATTTTGGGACATGATCCACATTTCAATTTGTAGACTCCCGATTTTTGAGTCTTTCCTGATTTAAAAGCAATCTTATATAATGTGTATTATATGAAGTAGATAGAGTTCGAAGTTATTTGAAACTGTATTTTATCTATCAAAGAGGGATCGTAACCGTGGTTAAAAGTTGTTAATATGATTCAAAAAGGATTGTAGTTGTCTTTCCTTTCCAGTAAAACAAGCAAAAATATCATCTAGGTCTCTATACTACCAAATAAATCTTTTACTCAGAGGATATTTATGTATGATATTTTCTACTTTGTCCATAAAAATTTCTGCAAGTCCTGGACTAAATGAGTTTCGAATAATTAATCCTTCTTAAGCAATATAAAATTTATCGTCAAATTCAAAATAATTTTGGTCTAAACAAACTATTAAACTATCTAACAAGTCTTGTTGTATGATGGAGTTGAATTGTCTCTGTGTATTACGTCCATCGGTGGGTTTATTAAAATAAAATTTAGATTTTATTTTTGTTAAACTTTGTGAAATTTTGTGCCATATTTCCATAAATGCAATGTTGCCAAATTAGTGAAATTAACTTTATAATTGATCTGCATAAAAGTCCTAGTTTTGGGTAAGCTTCCTCTATAGTTAATATCTCCACAAGACATGGAGACATCTCCAATGAAACTTTCCTATTCGACATGCAAGTTCTGTTTTCAAAATCCGTCAAAAAAAAAATTATTTAAATGTGCACTGATAACACCTAAACTTTTTCTCCTTGTTACGAAGGAATTTAAATTTTAAAATATTTAATAATTTACTTACTTAATGTTGCTTTACTTTCCATCGATAGGAATTCCAAGGAATTCTAAGTATGACCAGCCACTCCAAATATATTTTGTACTAAATTCTACTAATTATAATAAGAAAAAGACCATGTGTATATTAAAGAAACTGATGTTACGTTTCAATAAAAATCATATATTTTTTTCTAATAGCCAAAGCTCCATTTATAAGCAGTCTCGTTTATCAGTGAAATTACCGCGAATGATTTGTCTCCATTCTTCTGGGGTGAAGTTTTAAATTTATCAAAGAATGTGATTAAAGAGTTACATTCGGAACTCTTTTGAAATACGGTTGTTTGAATAACTTTCAAAAGTCTCATGACGTCTTGCCAATGTTATGCAAATGCGAAAATGGAAAATGCGAAACTTGCGAATGGGAGACGTTTATGAAAATTCGATTTTATTGGCGTTTCTAAACTTTTCGCTATTTTTAAATTGCGCTAAGAAAGAACCACTTTCATTTAGGAGTATAGCGAGCTCTCTTGTGTGTGATAGTGTTCGGGACCTACAGCTTTGCTAAAAAAAGTATTAAAAAAATATTATTTCACAATATGCATAATACTAAGAAGTACTTTTTTAATATGCAGAAAATATGTATTTTGGGGCTGTAATTTTTATGTTTTTTTTTAAATTTTAAATATGGAAAATTGTGCCTATTTTACAACATAAAGTTGAATGACTAATATTTTGCTTTTCTGGAGCTATCAGATACTTTTCAGTTACTAAAGTTGCCTTCATCCAACGCCCAACCCTTACATGCCTGAAATTTAGCAAACAATATTAACGATTGTCCAGACACTGCGTTTAATTGTTTAATATTGCAATAATTATATACAATGAAAACACATAATTTGCACAAAAATGGTTTACTTAACATGTGTCAATTTTTCTAAAGCGAAATGTTCGAAAATAAAACAAATACTAGCGAAATCGGATTAGTTTCGCTGATCAACTACTTAAGAATAATTGAACTTTTTTGTCCCTATACGAAGGTATTAAAATTCTAGTATTTTCATTTCATTCATTTTCAAAGTGACCCAAGTTTGTGTTCGGGCAATTTTAAGTGTCCTAGATTCCCCGAGAACTAAGTTAAACAAGATTAATGTTTCGTTTTCTATTAAGAACGTTATTTTTTACATTAAATTTTCATTTGGTGTGGAGCCCATTCCCGCTCTGTTTTTTTTTTTTTACTTCAGAATTAAACAAAATTTAAGTGAATTGCATTCACATAAGCAACTTTTTTCCTAGCTTATGGAAAGTTTTAGATTCAATTTTGAATAGTTGCGTCTGCTCTAAGTACATTAGCAAATTATGTACGAAAATGCTTTCAACTATAATCTAGTTTAAAATAAAACAGTTGCAAAGTTTCTAATTCTCGTTCTGACATCAAAATTTACTTGAGGTTTGATCCTGCAGTCGCAAAATTAAACGCATTGAGTTCTGGTTCGGATATCTTTAATATAATTTTTAAAAACGCTTACTGTCGTGTAACATTTGGATTGAACTTATTAATTTATTTATTTATTTAATACAGGTATAACTCAATGATAGAGTAAGGTACCAACTCAATCACCACTTAAGCGACTGATATTCTATCACAAAAATTATATTCAATATGTTTTATCTCCATGATGAAAAGTATTTACAAAGTATCTCCTGGACTTTAAGCTGCTTACTAAAAATATATGCATACTTAAAAATATACAGAAGAGAAGGACGAATGTCGAATGAAATGAAAGCACACGAAGGACATACTAAATAATTCAACTTCCTTACTACTTCAAATTTAGTTTTATCGATTACTCAAAAAGTTGGACCAGTTGAACTGGAAAAGACGCATTAAAACTTTTTTAAGATGACAATAGTTCAGATTATGCTAGAACTGGGGGTTATTTTAAATGGTGTAACCTATAAATCTAATATAAAACACAACATTATTTTTCATATTTGGAATACATTTCATACATATGCGATCAAGTCTTTTGAGGTAATTAATTAGTTTTTTATTAATATTTATTTATTTAAAGTTTTATTCAAAATGTCTATTTAGTTATTACCACTTACAAATATTCTGGATTCCTCCTGCGTTCATATCTGAAACTGGTTTCAGTTTTAGTTTTAGTTAATGTGATTTTTTAGGTATTCAAGCTAAAATAAACATCAATTTTTTCAGTTATTATCATTATTATTATCATTATTATTATAGAGTCATCTGGGGCAAGAGTGCACATTTTTTTATTCTATGGTCATAAAATTGTAATAATTGTACAAAATAAATTGAAATGAAAGTATTTATTTAAAGGATTTATTGATTTAACAATTACGTGACATGAAATTCAATTTACTTAATTGTAATTAAAGAAATAAAATAAAATAAATGTTAGTCAGAATGCGCACACTTACCCCAATATTGGGGTAAACGTGCGCAGCACTGCGGGTAAGTGTGCGCATTTGTAATAATTTAAACCATAACTTGTTACATATAGTTACACCATATTTAATGTTATAAATATTATTTTTTATCAATACATCATTTTTTACTTCATTTTTTATATTTATATATTAAATATATAATTTTTGACAAATACTGTTTAACTTGATTTTTATCGAGAATAAGGCTTAGAGTAGTTAACAGTTTTGAATAGAGAAAAATTCAAATGAGTTCGTTTTTAACGAATATGATAAAATCTTAATTATTAGAACATATATCACATATGAAAGCACCAGTTTCATAATGAGTGCACTGTTCATGCCACCAGCTATGACATAAGCTACATTTAATCCAATCCTCTGTAGGTGGATCAACGTATTTTTCACTACACAATGCACAGGAATCATCATTTTCCTTAAAATCATTAATATTTTCTTGACTAGCCTTAACTTTAACAGCCTTATCTTTGGTAGTAGTATTCTTCTTTGTTTTTTTTTTTAGAATTTTCAGTTTTATTTGCTCTAGCTATGCTAGTTGACGTGGGTTGTCGTAAATTCAAGTCAGGGTGCCTTTTTAAAAATCCATACACCCAATCACGTCCAGCCATTTTCGACTTTTGATTAAACCGATGAGGAATATGATTTATTTCAGCATACTCGTAGATCAATGTTCTTAGAGTTGTCATATTAAGACCATAATAGAGATCATCACATCTTTTTAAATAATTATATATTTCATTTTCTTGCTCACTTGTGAAAGTTGAAGTAAATCTTCCTAATTTTAGAGAAGTTGAATCAGATTTTAATCGCTTCCTGAGAGTACTCTCTTTCATTCCAACCTGTTCAGCTGCTTTTCTTTTACTTAAACCTTCGGCAATCAATCGCTTAGCAGCATCAAATTGATCACGGGTAACAACGGACCTGTGTGGAGCCTTCCGCTTGTAATTTCGAGGCATTGTAGTTTTTTTTTTTAAGAAATATATAAGTATAACCTGAAACAAATAACAACGAGTGTCAATACACAAAGAACTCACTATCGTGGTAAAAGTACGCATTAAAATATGCGTACTCTTACCCCACAACCGTATGCGTACACTTAACCCTAATCGCCTTTACAGATTTAGTTTAAAATTACACATTTTTGCGTTATTCTACCAAGTTTTGATGTATAGCTGATAAAATTAGATACATAAACGAGCATAATTGGACATAATTAATACTAATTACCGCTACATAAATATAAAAGTATTTGAATTCTAAATTGGAAAAAATCGTAAGAATAATAACCAAAATTTTTACTTACCAATATTACTAAAACTACGTAACTTTGCCAGACAAGACTAGTCTTTTGTCCAACGTCGTAGTGACTACTGAAGGCAGTTGATTCCCCTACTCTACTGTCAACGGTTTTATAAATAATAAGCCTGCGCACACTTACCCGCTGCGCACACTTGCCCCACATGACTCTAACAAATGAGTGAATTTCCAGATTTTTGCTGTTTAATTAATAAAATTTCTGGAAGGTATATTGCTGGCAATATGGGGTTATTTTTTTTTGCGATTATATCAATACATAGGTTGTCCATGAATATCTAATACAATATTTGACTTTCTTTTTCTTACCCTAACACAAAAGTTGATAATTAAGGAATCTAAGTAATTAATTATTTCATTGATACCAATGTGAGAGGGTTATAAAACTTAGTGTGGAGAAAGTTTTTATAATAATATAATAGTAATCAAAAAGTAAAACAAAAAAACACCATTACTGAAAAACAAATTCTTTATTTTGGACGTCTTATAATCGATACATACGATATAATTACATATTTACAATTATCATTACTAATAATCAACTTTTGTACTATCATAAATCGAAGATACCCGAGATTTAGTTCAATCGATGGATATTCGAAAAGTTAAGAAAATTAATTCCTTAATTGTTAACGAAATTTTTAAAAACTCGCTGAGCTTATTTAATTAACTTTGTGTTGTCAACGAAAAAGTATCGGCTATGATTCGTGTTGAAAACTGATTTTAAAACTAGTGTGGTTAAATCTTCCACACTGTGTCAAAATTTAAGTTTTAAAAACTTGGTTAAAATATGCGTTCTAGAAAAACTACCAGTCACGTGTCACCGTTTTTTTTTTGGTTTCCTATTTTTAAAACATGAATTGAACTTTCACAGGAAAAAGTTCGTAGATTATATGTCAATATTCCACTATGGGGCGGCGACACGGGAAATAGTAATTGAAAAGCAATTGATTTTCACCTTTTTCTTCCACTTAGATCGTTAGCTACAACTTAAGCGTTATGTTGGGAACGAAAATGTTTCTTCAATTGATGCGAGAGCTTTTTAGGTCGCTGGCCTATCAGGTGCTATTTATAAACTCGTTTTCGTAGTTTTGTAATATTACTGGATGTTGTGTTCTACGTCGACGTTCTATCAATATATACAACTCATAGTTGTTCAGCATATCGTTCACATTTGGATATAATTTAGTTTTGAATAGTGTGTTGAAGAACAGTCAGCGCGTATGGCGAAAAATGATAAGATTCGAAGTTATCCATCCAGTGTTACTAGCCGTCTTGGCAATCGTATCCATTCTGGAAAGGGTTTTTTCCGGTTTCGATGTTATCTATGAAAATCCATATGGAGATATTCACAGCGACTTATTAAGCAAGATATTCATGTGAATGAAAGAATTTAACTATAGATTAGAAAACAAATTATTTTTTGGATTGGTTTTATTTCGGATCGAATTGAAGTTCATAATGAGGTTGTTGTGGGGTTCCTTGAGGGTGACTATGGCCGATGAAACTGTGGTGGTGGTGTTGGCGTTACGAGTACGAGAGTTTTATGAACGCGCTTAGAATAGAATAATATAACTTATTACTGGTTTTGCGGTTCGTTCGTTCGTCAAAAGAAAACATTTTTGTACAAAAACACTGCAATGGAGAACTTTATTAATAAATCCCATTTGTGCAGAATGTCAGAGTAGCAACGCAACAGAAATCAGACCAGAAAAAGCTAAGTTTTGAAAAGCTGATTCTCATTTATTGTTGTAAGGATCACTGGTGCAAAATAAAATCAAAAAAATTAAAACAGATTATTAATTTTAAAGCCTTATAATCGGTATATAGGTTATAAATAATTAAAATGAACTAAAAACTATTTCACAGGGCGAGCTAGTGCATCGACGGTTTTTAATCTGGTGTGACTATCTTTGTCGACTACATGAATTATTTATATGTCAATATTCGCTTATAGAGTGTCGTCCCTGGAACTATTAATTGAAAAGCAATTGAATTTCATCCCTTCAATAAATCCTTACATCGTTAGCTGCAGCTTAAGCGTTCTGTTGGGTACGAAAATGTTTCTTCAATTGATGGGAGAGTTTTTTAGATCGCTGGCCAATCAAGTGCTATTTATCTACCCATTTTCTATAAAAAATGGAAAACTTCGTCATTTTATAATATTACTGGATATTGTGTTATACGTCAGCTTGCTATCAATATTCGCAATTTATTGTTATCCGCAATTCCGTCTACAGTTGGAAATAATTTTTTGCATTCTTATTACTTCAACGGGGTTCTTCTACTGGAGCGCGTCATACGTGACATCGGTAATGCGCACAACAATGATCTCATTCGACGAAAATATGGAGTCTTTGAATAGTTTGTTGGACAACCGTCGGCGATTGGAACGAAAAATGATAAGATTCGAAGTTATCCATCCAGTTTTAATAGCCGTCTTGACAATCGTATCGATTCTGCTTCATTTGATAAAGAATATCGTCAATCCGGAATGTGTTTTTGCGTTTTGGACGTTATCTATTAAAATCCATACGGTGACATTCACAACGACTTGCTTATTAAAACAGATTTTCAGATTGCTGAAAGAATTTAACGATAGATTAGAAAACACAGAATACGGACAAAATATTCGGTTATTGGTCCATCTATACGGTAGTATATGTCGACTTGTCAACGACTATGAGTTATGTTTTGGATTGGTTTTATTTGGAATCAAATTGAACATCATAGCAAGTTTGTTGTGGGGTTCCTTAAAAGCGACAATTTCCCCTAAAGATAGGATATTGTTATGGTTGGTGTTACGTGTGGTAAGTGACCTAACTTATGAGGACACTTAGAACAGGATAATATAAGTTACATTTACGGGTTTCGCGGCTAGTTTTCATTATTACATAAGTTATTTTTCGTTATTTATTTCTAACATATTCAGGTACGTACAGCTTCAAAATCAAATTAAAGTTGAAAAATAACAATACACAACACAAGAATATTTTCCCAAAATCAAATAAATCTACTTACAAGAACGGCGCCTATGTGTGTGTGTGTGTGTGTGTGTGTGTGTGTATCCTATCTAGGTGTTTGCTCTTTATCGTTACTTGATCTATTGTATATACATTTACTCTTATATTTAACGCTAACATTTTCCATTGCCGGAAAATTTTGTAAACGTAACCGGCTTTAAGTTTTTCCGAAAAACGGGACAATGGAGTGTTTATTTATTAATAAATCGCACTTGTATGGGATGCTAGGGTACAATTGTAACAGAAATCAGGCGAGGAAAAGCTACGTTTCAACAACGCACTCCAAACTAGACAAAACGCGTTTTGAAAAGATCCTGCTTATTAGTTTCTATAGAGGATGACTGACGCAAAATAAACCGATTTAGGAAAATTGACGAAACATATAATAATTTCCCCATTGTTATTTAATTATTTTAACTTATAATAATTAATTTTTTTTTTACTTTAAACAAGAATACATTTTTTGAAAAAAAAAAAGAAAATATTGCCCTAAAAAAAGTTTGGGAGTAAAAAAAGTGGAACCTCCTTCTTTCCTGTATGAAATATTAAAATTTTGTCAGCAGCAAATTTTATAACCCATTCAAAACTATTTTTAGTTTAAAAATTTCATTTAGGTGCCGTTTCAGAAAAACAACATTTTTTGGGGCAAACCAAGTAATTTTTATGCAGAAGTCATCCGATGTGTTTATTTTGTTTGCAAATACACAATTATAAGGTTATTCATCTGATTTATAAATATATTTTCAATATTTTCAAGCGTTTCTACAATCTGTTCTATCTGATCTATTATGCCAGGTAACATAATTTGTTAAATTCTTTCAGGCAAAATCGATTTTTTTCATTAAAAAGAAAAACTAAATAGCGAATGACCTATTTTTCAATAAGTGTCTGTAACTCTTATGTAATTCGAAAATTAATTTTACCATCAAGTCCCATTTGTCTATCGTTTATGTAAAAAAATACTTATACGTAATATCAAATATAAATTACCTGTTTTACAAATTATATACTTGATCACAGTTTTCTATACCATTTAGCAATATTTTGTTACATTGTGACTCCAATAGTCTAACCCTGCCCATAACTTGCAAACAAAAAATTGTCTATTGAAGTTTATATCAATACGATCAATATTCGTTTAATTTTACTAATATATTTTTCAAGGAAACTACTCAACATTAAGTAAAAAGAAAAAACAAATAACATATAAAGCTTTGCTTAAGTAAGTTGAACTAATAACATTGAGAAAAATGCTGTTTAACACTTTACTAGTGAGACGATGGTATTTAATAAATGTTTGTAAATCTGCATGTAATAATTCACGACTAGTTTTTTTTTATTGTTTCCTGTTTTGTTTTATGAATAATAATAATAATAATAATAATAATAATAATAATAATAATGAGAAGAGGACATTTCGGAAACTAAAATTCAGTTAAAATGGTTCAAAAAGTCTTCCATAAGTTGGCGCTACTTCGTGATAGTTATTTCTCGAATAAATGAACGATATCAATATTAACTTATAGTTCGCATTGCCGGTGGCATTGGAATTAATAATTTAAATCTTATTCTTGGACGGACTGCTCGTAGAATCCTCATAACGTTTTATGTAGCTTAAAGGTTTCTGTGGTTGATTTTTTTTAGATTGATAGTAATATATGGTATATAGTAGATATGTTACGGGATGTTATATTTTGCATCAGCGTGATATCAGCATACGTGAAAATTTGTTTTGAGATTTTAGAAGTTCAGATCTCTATGGTACACTGGAATAATTTCAATAACGACCGTATTTGCGATGGTGTCTTATCTTTCATTTAAAAGACGCATAGAAATGATTGCGTTCAATAAATTTATTAGATCAGTTATTAACCAGACAATTGAGATCGCAAAAAACGTTTAGCTGCGAAACTATTCTACAATTAAAATCAGTTATCTTATTGATTTTAGTATATCGAAATATATTTGTAACAGTTTCGAATGGTAAATGTCAATTGCTATCTACGTATTTGCCATTA